AAAACACAGAATCTCCATGGGGAATGGTAGAATAATGATTCCATTTCTTCACAGCTCATGCTTATTGAAACTGAACTAAATAAATAAAATAACAATTTCAAAACTGAGCTGCCCTGAACCTACAAGATTTTAGATTGAAAACATAATTTAAGAGCAAAAACAATTAATAATAACCATCTCAGTAGACAGCATGTGAGTGGTATATATTGTTTAAATACAAGACATGCATATATCTTTGTGATGCAGACACACGCACACACAGACATCGGATGTAACAGCAAAATTGTGCAATTGTTAGATTAAGCCTTGAAACATTGTATCTTAGAAATGATTAAAGATATAATACTGGAATTCTCTGAATTTTTTATAACACTATTGAACTCTACTTTGAACAATAAAAATGTATTTAGCCCTAAATTGAAATGACAATCCCTCTTCCAGTTGTGACCTCCTGATCCATTTTTTTCTCTCTACTGTTTCCTCTTTTTAAAACTTATTCACCATTCTCTTAATGGTTCTTGAATGGAGTTTGAAGATAAAAGCTAGAGTATGAATGTTAGTACCAGTACTGAAGGCCGGAATAATCTTTTTCCTCTCACCATTGCTCGTTTAGGAAGACAGTGGGGATGACATAAAATGATTTTTACCAGTTCTCTTTCTAGCTAAATAACTCAAAGGGTTTTTCAGTGATTCTTATGAAAAATAGTGTCAAGATAGCTAAACATCTTATCTGAAAACCTGGGAAAAAGAAACTCAATTAGTTTAGCGTTTCTTTTAGATATTAAACATTTTATGAGATGGACAATTGTCCCATGCTGTTACACCTGGTATATGAAAGCATAGATGTGCTGGGTGTCTAATGACTTGGAAAGACAAAATTGAATTTCAACCAAGTTTGTTGCACTCAGTTTTATGCAAATACACTTGGCAAAGTATGAATCTGTCTCTTCTCCCCCAGCTATGGGCTAAATAGCAGGGCTGACTAGATGCTTCAACTATGGTTATATGAATTTCAGTTGATTTCTTTAGTGTGTCGGCCCTAAATGTGAACTAACATGGTCAACTTTTGATTTTGAACAAGAATTCTACTTTATTTAAACAATAAAGCATTGACAATAGTTTTCTAGCTTTCATCTGTCACCATGTAAAAATATTCTTCTGTGGTAGTTTACTTGACATTCAAACAGAAACACAATTCGGTACCTGGACCAACAATCACCTGAGAAGGAATGCATTATATAAAACCATTTTTTGTTGTTTTTCTTTCGCTGTCTGTCTTGCTGTCAAAACAGATGAAAAGACATTTTTTGCACTATTCATGAATTGAAACTGTACAAGACCTGAAGAACCAATGATAGTAAACAACATGAAAATAATAGAAATCAAATAAGAATTCATTCTTTCTTACTGACTAAATTTTTTCTCATTAATGGAAGCCACTGAATTTTAATATTCTGTTATTCTTTTATTATTAAATAAACTAACAAATTTACATTATAATGGAAATCTCATTATCTAAAATAAATTTTCTTTACTGCAGTTTTATATTCTTTGACCTTATCAAACCTTCTGTTTGACAAGAAAGAAGTTAAAGTTGATGCCAACTTTAACTAATTAAGTTTCAGTAAAACATAAAAAACTGTCTTAATTCCAAGGAATAATTTCTAACTGGGATCATTTTACAGTTCCAAATTCCTAATTATAAGTAACAGACAATGATGCCAAAACATTTACTGCCAGAACTAAATGGGAATTAAAAGTCTATTCCAATCATTAGATATATCACATCAGATAGAGATTATGAAAATGTTTTGAGTTTGATTGATAGAGCCTAGAATACATCACCTGAGATTAAAATAGTTCTCACTGCAATTTTTGTTTTTTTAGTTATGGCCTGTGGCACATTATCTCGGTTATGCCAATATGACCACTACATAGAAAAATCTTCATTCAATCCCAAGAGCATGTAAGGACATGTTTCTGCCAATTTACAAAAAAATTATGGCTAACCAAACTTTGAAGCCAATATCTCAAATGTACAAAAAGTGCAGAAATAGAAATTTTTCATTTCAGGTAACAAATACACTAACCACATCCTCTTCAGAGTGTTAAGACATCCCAAATAGGGTCACATTCCAGATCGATATTGGCATTTAAAACTCAATCTCTACATTTTTACACTTACATTTAATGTACACTGGAGATTATCTTTTTGAGAGTAGTGTACACTGGACTTGTGTCTACCTTTTTTAACTATAGCATAAATTGGTCATATGTTTACCTTACTGACTCTTAGTGTAAACAGAATTTATGTCTACCATATTTACTGTAGCATAAGCTATGTCTATATCTACCTTTTTGAATATACGGGGGTTGTTCTAAAGTCTTTTCACCCCAACATAATATAATTTCCTATTTCAATGCTCTGTAGGGTATTATCAAGGAGAGAATTTCCCATGAACGATATCAGAATATCTATCGTTTGGAGGATGCTGTTCAGAGAGCCTTTGCAACAATCAACAAAGCACAGCTTCGTAAAATATCACACAGGACATGGAACCACATCGTTTTGTGCCCTGAAAATGATGGTGTTCATAGAGACCCTCACAAACTGTGTTAGTGTCAATGAAAATGAATAAACAAAATCCAATACATGCACTTTGTATCACTTGTTCTCATTACTTTTTGGTCGGGTGTGATAAGACTTTCTCATTACCCTGTAGTTTTAACCAAACATATGCCTACCATTTTTACTTTAGTGTTGACGAGAACTAGGTCTGATCTTTTGTGAAAGAAATGGGAAAAAAATCATTGTCAAGAACTCAAATTCTGAGTGTCTGAAAATATCTTTGAAATCATCTATGTTGATGAATAAAGTAATTCTACTGTTGCAGTTGAAATCAAATGAACCCAGCTTAAGTAGTATTGCTGATGTTTTAAATATCATTTTGATCAGTATCAAAAACTGCAGCTCAACAAATGTTCAGTCTACTCTGGCTCAATCAATTTGATTTGATAATATATACCTGGTTTAAAATTGACAATTGTCTAGAAGACAATGTCACATTAACTTTTAGTCTTCATGTGAGAAATTTGAATATGTAATGCTCTACTGCTTGGCATTCAAGCCAGAAGCTCAAATATGAACATTTCAGAGTGTTTGGGTGTCAATCTGATAACAGTGCAGAGGATTCGAAAAGAGTTGGATGAGTCTAATCATGATTACAAAGGTACAGTAGCTCAAAAAACTCACACTGATCATTCTGATAAGAAAAGAACTAACAAATTTGGTGGTGAAGGCCTCAAACTTTACATCAAGTGCTATGAGGGGGGTAGTGATGGCATGGGTCAAGTGGGTGGCTACTGGAAGACACTATGTCTAGCAACAGGACTCTGCACCATGCCACACAAGTAGGAGAACCCAGTCATGGCAGTCTGATAATTTCTGTGACTACATCACCCCTTACATCTGGCTGCCTAACTCTCCCAACTGCAACCCGCTTGATTAATATGTCTGGGGCACAGTTGGGTGAAAGACAAACTCTCTGTAACACTAAAGAGGAATTGAAGGCAAAGATTATGGCAGCATTCACCAACTTAAACAAGGAGACTGTCTAGAAGAGTTGCAGGAGCTTCCAAAGTTGTCTGGATACTGTGGTTGAAACCATTGGCGATTTTTAAAAAAAATAAATTTACTCTTTAGTATTTCAAGATATTTTGTGTAATTTTGGTAAATATATCTGTTAAAATGAGATGTCAGTGTTATTTTCATTTTTGTGTAATTTAGACGACAATTTATCCATCGCACTCTGTATTTTGTTGTAATGAAGAAAAAAGTCTTTCAAATTATTGGCAAAACTAAATTAGGAAAATATTTAAATATTGAAGATATCGAGTTTTGTAAACATTTCTGTGGGTGATAATTTGAGGAATTCAATTTTCACAAGTCTTTGCAAAATGAAAACAAATCATGATTCTGGCATCGAGTGAATAATCAATAAATAAATGAGGTGAGAAAAAATAATAAATGAATTCCAAAAATACAATTATTATGAAGAAAAAATAAATAAAAGAAGCAAAACCCTGCAGAAGGAGAAATAAAAATAAATAAATAAATAAATAAACTAAGAAGAAGTCATGAAAAGGAAACCTGTAATCAAAAACAGTTGTATCACAAATATTTTAAAATATTTCACTGGTCTGAGACTAAAAGATGTAAATAATTGCATAAAAAGAAACTCACATCTCTTGCGTGTGGCAGAATATGCATTTTGAAGTATATTGCTTAAGTTAGAAGAAATGAAAGAGTAATAAGATTGTTAAAATTGTGTGATTTGTGAAATACCCTCCCAAAATGCAAAAGTGTTGAACACAAGCTTTGATTCAGTTAAAATTCACCTCTAAAATATCATGAGATTATCTGAAGAGGCACAGAAATTGTTATATTTTAAATTCTGTTTTGCAAAAAATACTTTCTACTTAAAACTATTTTGTTTGCAACCAATTTTCCTAAACTTTAGTCTAAAATTTTATATGAGTACAGAAAATAATAATGACCAAAAAGCAAAGTAAAACAATATTTTTTCACTTAGTAGTATGAGCTGCATGGTTATTGAATGTCAAATGTTTCCTTATAAGAAAATGGCTAATATTACCATTACTATTAAAATAACTTGATTGATTGATTTGTTTTCTATGACTTATCAATCCTTTATAGGTCATTTAAACCTAGAAAATATTTTTAGATTCTAAAATTTATTTTTCTTTTTGAGATCATGATATCAAGGATATTGTGCTATGATGTAGTGATATAAGCATTACCTTTATATCCCTCCAGCTATTGGTTAATACCCATAGCTGGAGGTATAAGAGGTGGATTCATACCTTTCCCATGTGTATTTGCATCTAAGGGAATATGCTTAACCCAACTGTAATTGAAACTCCACTTATCCAGTTAACAATTCTGAGCCATTATCCATTACACCACATGCGCATCCAAGCTTACAATACTTTGTATACCCAAGCAGTCATCCATCTGGTACTAACCAGGCTCGACATTGCTTAACTTCAGTGATCGTATAGGAACAGGTGTTTCAATATGATATAGCTGTAGATAGATACGTATATGTAGTTGGAGTTGGTGACTATGATCAGGATTAGAGAGCACCAGGATTTTGAATGTTGCTTTTCAAGGCATGCACATAATCCTTCTACAATTGGAAGTGTCACACAACAGAATCACCACTATCTTCATTTCTGCCAATTCCTTTGTAATAAATTGAAAAATAACTCTAAATTAAAAAGGATACATGGTAATTTTGCTGGTTATTGTATACTTGTTTCTTCTTGTAAGAATTTTAGCGGGAGATAATAATGGTTTAGTGATACAAATCTTATTAACTAATCCATAGGTGGAGGGGGGTGGCTAGAAGAGTTGGATTCATACCTTTTCCAAGAGTATTTGCACATAAGTGAATATAACAAACTTGGCAGGAATTGGAACTCAGCTCTCCTATCAACAATTCCATGTCATTATCCATGCACATCCAAGTATACAGCACTTGGTATCCCTAATTGGTCACTCATCTAGGTATTAACCAGACTCAATGTTGCTTGATTTCTATGGTCATTTAGGAACTTGTGTTTCAATGTGAACTGTCCATCAGCTGCCTTTATTAAAATAACCTGCAATGATCTAAAATTTCTTATAAACATAAATTAAGCCAGAGATGCTCCGTAACTGTTTAAACTGATGTCTCTTTTTTCCAATAAATTTTGAACATTTTGCATAAAGTTTGTATTTATTTTCAACCCCAAAATTTCAGTGACATTTTTACTTTCAAAAATTTAAAAAGGAAAAAAAAAACAGTTTAAACTGATGCCTAGCAGATGAGTTGAAACATTGACAGCCGGAGGTCAATTATGAAATCTAACTTCAAATGCCAACTTAGGCAATAAAATTTTTTACAAGTTGATTTATAGCTCCAACTAAAGTCTCAACATTGTTTTAACACTAACAGTATCACTGCAAATAAAATTGTTGCTAGTATGAGATAAATCTTAATTGACGTCATGATAAAAACTGCCAAACTCTAGTTATCTCATGGTTGGCATTCAATGTGCTAAAAACTAGAAAAACTGATTATTTAAATGAGATGACCTAGATTAAATAAAAATCATAATGTAGTTTGAAAGAAAAAAGAACTCTAAAAATATACACCACTGCAGACATAACATGTCTATATAATATAACAGAAAAATAAGACATTTTCAGATTATATATGATATATAAATGGCAAAAAGGATCTGGAATAGTTTCTGGAAATTTTACTAAAAAGAGAAAAATCAATTGTAATGTTCAGGAGTGGGTTGAGCCAACAACTTTTCAGCATTTTCCCAAACATATTGTTCCTTCTATAAGGGTGTGGGCGATCATGGCTCTCCACATCTTGTCCGTTGTAGCTCTAAGCAGCATTTATCTTCTCCTTTCCAGTCACTGCTCTGCCATTCATTTACACTAACTTGTTAGGTAGGTTACTCAATGTTTCCCTCTGTTCTGCTTGCCTCTAATGTGTCTTGTGAGTGTCAAATTCTCTAAGCCCTCATTCCTCATTTTCTGTTCCACATGTTTATTTTATAAATCAAATTTGTATTAGTGCTCACAAATAAAAAAAAAATTTCATACTGAAAGTGTGGATACACATCTGATCATCAAAGAACTGGTTTTGATCATTACATAATATGTGACTTATGCCAGAGAATACCAGTCTGAATAGAATATTAAGTTTATCAGGAACATCTGATCTAAGATGAGTTGATCTGTGGTGGCCCCAATATATACTGGATTCATCCAAAGAGATATGAAAATAAGGCTCTACTTGGTGCTACCTGAGAACATTAAAAGACCTTTCTTTTTTCTAATCATTTCACTCCAATCAAGGCAATAAAGCCATTAATATGTAAGAAACTACTGAAAGTGAAAGAAATGTGACAAGATAAAAGAGCATGTTTCAATGAGACAGAAGATGATGATTGACACTGTATTTATATTTTTGAAGTTCAAAGTTGACTGGAAAGCAAGATGCCATAAAAGGGTTTCACAAATAAGAAATGTGAGAAAAAAAACTGTTAGTATAGAACCTATGGTTACATCTAGCAATTCCACCTGTAAAATGATGAGACCTAGCTGCCAATCTAGTACTACACTTAAATTTGTAAGAGTTGATGTACCAAAGAAGAAAGCTTATCAGAAAATTATCATGAAAAGATTTGTAGAAAATATTTTCATTGTAACTGGCATAACTGTCTACAGAGAAGGTGAACCTAAATGGTGTCTTCAAAACCACAGAGTGCAGAATCAGGCCTCAAAAGATGTCAGTGGGTGTACTGACATAAACAGGAAATGAACCCTGCTGAACTTTGAATATATATTGAACTGATATGTTTGAAATGAAGAAAAGTGTTTCTAAATTCATTTGTTCATTTTGTTTTGATTCTACAGTTTCCTATAAACATTCCCTGTGTGATTAACAATCCAAGATATTAAATTACAATTGTGCATAATGACATGAAGAAACTATGTATTGACTATAGAATAAAAATTACAGACAGTGAGTTTATGCAGGTATTTGTTTACATATATATATATATATAAATGGAAAAAATATATATATATAAATGAAAAATTGTTGAACTGAATTCAAATTCTAATTTGAGTTTTACACAAATACCCTTGGGAAACATATGAGTCCATCTCTTCTCCCTCTCACAATTATGGGATAAATAAGAGAGCAGACTGGGCACTTCAGCCTTGGATGGCAATCAGTCTAAGAGAGGGACATTCTCAAATAAGACATGCCATCTCTAGTCATCTTGAGCATTATTGTCTTTGGATCATGGCAGTTTATATTCAGAGTGTGGTATTCATGTGGTACAAATATCAATCACTATAATTCCACTGAGTTACAGATACATATATATAAGAAAGTGTTCCTGCTTGAAGTATATATATATATATATATATATATATATATATATATATATAAGTAATTCATTGAGTCTAGAAGAAACCTCAACAGAATACAGATAGCACTGGACAGCCGTTTTGTCCTATATTTAAGACTCATCAGCAGTGCACATCCACTACCGAGAATTGAAACACAGACAGTTACGATACGAGGCAAACATCACATCAACGATACCAACAGGCCTCGGCGATGAAGAGCTAATGAATTAGATTCAATATTGTGTCACTCATTCATATAAAAAGCTTGTTGGTGCAAGCTTCATTGGCACCATCAAATGATCTTCAAACTTATCCTGCAGACTATTACCACTATAGTGGATTGAACCTCATGTATAGCCTTTTGCCATATGAAGTGGAACTTAGCAAATATGCACATATATCTTGTTTCTATGTATATTTCTTGTTTTTATATATATATATAATTTAATTTATTTAAAATTATAACATAAATATGTTATAAAATCACTACAAAAATAGCCATTTTGTTTCAACACTTCCAGTGTCTTATCAAGTGATGGTGTTGAATTAAATTTGCTCTACTCTGTATTGAGCACTCTTTTAAGAATAGTATTTTTTGGTTTATTGGAATTTATTCTATATACACCAATTTTATACTTGGGTGTGTGTGTCTATAAATATGTGTGTGTGGTTACATGTAGGCATCCCTGAGAGAGAGAGAGAGAGAGAGAAAGCTAAAAGTTACTTAAATATTTCCACTAAATATATACATATGCCTACACAAATATTACTGAAATCTTAGAAGCCATTGGAAATTTTCAGAAGGAACAAATGATAAATTAAAAAACAGTCCAAAATATATAGGATTTCTCAACATTGAAAGGGGAATAAGTGAATTGAGTTCAAATTCCAGTTTAGCCTCTTGCATTTACTTTTGCACTATACACCCAGTTTTTCTTCTTCCAAGTTAAATAGTAAGGTACACTGGGATCTTTAGCCTTACTGAGATTTCTAGCCTTGTGTAGCAGCCAAGTCTAGAAGAAAGAATATTCTGAATTTAAAAGTGTGAAGAACCTCTCTATGATCTTTCCTAAGAAGTCATAGCAATTCATAGATAATAAAGAAACGGTATATAAAACCAGTATCATCTACCACTAAACAGATGTGGCAAAAAAAAAAAACCAATAAAACTTAACATGCATATAAACACGGTATTCTCTGATCTCTCAATGGTAATGGAGCATGTGATAACTGAGCAATACTAAATAAAGGCTAAATGAGATGTCTCTAGAAATGGTTAGCATAATGAGATATACTCCTGTAGATTAAATAAAGTGATCAGTGCAAAATTCCCTGATGGTTATCCAGACCAACATAACCTGAAGACCAGAGGCCACAATGGTAGAAACATTAAACATTATGATAATTACAACAAAGATGACTGATTCATTCATTTTTTATGGTTTATCAACTGTTTACAGATTATTTAAAGCCAGAAAATGTTTTTAGATTGTAAGACTTTGTGGGGGTGCAGATAATAATAGTTTTATGATACAAGTCTTACTAATTAACCCATAGCTGGTGGGTGGAAGAGCTGGATTCATACCTTTCCCAAAGATATTTGTGCATAAGCGAATATAATGAACCCAATGGGAATTGGTACTTGGCTCATCGATTAACAATTCCAAGTCATTATTCATTGCACCACCTGCATATCCAAGCTTACAGCAGCTGGTATTCCCAAGCTGTCACCCATTGAGGTACTAACCAGTCTCAATGTTGCTCAGCTGGTGTTTCAACATGATGTGCCTGTAACCCTACACAATGATGTGGACAATAGTATGCATTTAAATAATGTAAATAATGTTAACTCCTCATCCTAGAAATTCAGAGAGAAATTATTGGTTTTCTGTTTCTTAATTGGGAAAATACAATAAGAAATTAAATAGATAGATGTTGTCGACTGAATTTAATGCAACTTGTGTTCATGTGTGTTTCTCTAGAACTCTGAAAGAGTTACTTTATTTCCAACTTCGGCCAGTGGTGTGTGTTCAATCTTAACTTCAACCAAAATTTTAAATACTGATTTGGGGGAGACAAACACTTCCCTACATCTTGCATGTA